AAAATCAACGGGATTTTATTTTTGTAGTTGCTTGTGTGCAACAAACATGACACATGAAAACATGAGCAAATCAACCAACGACTACGTTATAGTCTGGCTAGATGCTACTATTGAAAATAGTAAAGGAAGTCAAGACACAAAAGCACTTATACGACAATTGGTTCGAGGTCGATTACGAACATTTGATGATTCAAATAAATGTGTAGATGATATAACCAGTGACCTGTCGGAAAAACGAATATTTCTTATTGTTTCTAATGCTCTTGGTAAAAATGTTGTTCCACATATATATGAAATACCAGAAATCCAAATGATATACATATATTGTAATAATCGAATAGCAGCAGAAGCATGGGCTAAATCAGATTATAAGATTTCTGGTATTTTCACAAAAAAACAAGAACTTTTACAACAAATTCGAGATATCGTTGCTATGTGTGATCAAGACCATCATATTCCGATGAGTATCTTTCATCGTACGGATCGTGAAAAATCATTAAAAGACTTAAGTCAACAAAGTGTAACTTCTATGTGGTATCAATTAATACTAGAAGTTCTTCGATCGATGGCAAAATATGGAGATTCAAAAGCTGAAATGATTGAAGCATGTCGAACAAGTTATCATGATAATAAAATTGAACAAAATAAAATAGATCAATTTGAAGAAGATTATTCCCCAGCGAGAGCATTTCATTGGTATTCATCTGACAGTTTTGTATATCGATTATTGAACAAATCTTTACGTACACAAGATATTGAAATTATATTTAAATTTCGATTTTTTATTAATGATCTTCATAATGAGTTGGAAAAACTTTATTATCAATATATAAATATTCATTCTTCTAATCCTAATCATCATTTAACAGTTTATCGTGGTCAATTTTTAAGTATGACAGAACTTGATCGACTTAAACAGAGTGTAAATGAACTTATATCAATGAATAGTTTCTTAAGTGCTTCATTAAAGCCAATAGTTGCTGAAATTTTTGCAGGTACAAACAGTCAATTGAATGATCCATCAGCATCGCAATCAGTTCTTTTCATAATTGATATTAATAATATGAGTAAAGAAATGAAACCATTTGGATTTATACAAAATTATGCATGTAATCCAGATGAAAATGAAGTACTTTTTTCAATGGGTGCTATTTTTAAAGTTCACTCAGTTCAAGAACATGATAAAATGTGGCATGCTCATTTAGAATTAAGTAAAGTACAAAATCAATTCGGTCGAGATCTCTTAGATCATATGTTGAAACAAATCAAATGTGATCCAGGTCCATTATCATTCGGTTGGTTTCTGTTTCGAATGAATGACTTTGCCAAAGCTGAACGTTATGCAATGTGGATGATGAAACAACTTCCACAAAATGATATACAAATTGGAGATGCTTACAAATTACTTGGCCTTATTTATAAAGATACAAATAGATTAGATCAATCTATTAAAAGTTATGAGACAGCCCTTAATATTTATTCTTATTTGGGTTATCAGGATAGTCCTCGAGCTATTGCTACTCATTGTGATCTTGGTTTGACTTATTTAGCTCAAAAAGATAATCGATATGCATATGACGAACAAATAAAAGCCGAGGAGAAGTTGTTCAAATCCTTACCAACAATGCATCCATTACTTATAGCTACAGTGGATAGTCTCAAAGCCAAAATTCTAATAGAATTTGATGATTATTCAGATGCTTTAAAAAATCTTCAACAAGTTTTACAGAGAAAACGGCAGCTATTACCAGCAATCCATTCATCGATTGCATCAACGTTGAATATGATAGGTATTGTGTATGAAAAAATGGGCAATGATGTCGGTGCACTTAAATATTTTCAAGAAGCATTGGATATTGGTGAGAAAAGCTTAATCGATGATCATTTTGATTTAGTCGAATATCATATAAATGTTGGTCGTATTTATAAGAAACGTGGAGAATTTCAACGTGCTTCGAAACAAGTTGAATTAGCACAAAAAATTAAGACAAGTCACGAGACAAGACCTGATGATGATGGTGCTATTTTTTTAAATTAAATGAACACTTTGCTGACACAGAAAAACTACCTTAGTCACTAATTTATTGATGAAAACTTTCTTGTTTCATGAATTGTATTTTTTCACTTATTGAGATGATTTTATTCTAAAATTAAATGCAGTAGTTGCAAAAAGTTTCGCACCCAGATCAAAGCTATTTAAACCTCATATTTTTATCTTGAATACAACTTTTTCAATCCTGATTGTAAGCATCAACTGGATCTCAATCGATTGATGTATACTGAAGTTATTCACTCAATAGTATCATCACCTTGTGAAGAATATATCTTGATCATTTTTCAACGTTCGATTTTCGGCGACCTCTCATTTGAAAACTAATCATTGGAGCGCTTGCCGGCGCAAATTTAGTAAAAAAACTACTTTGAATTAATGAAGGTATGATCTTCGTAATGAGTGTACCTGAGAAGTGATTAGTTCTAATTATCATTTTGCTCTATAGTATTATCGCTCAATTTTGTTCAATTTATTCAATGAATTGTCAGTAATGCTTGCGTATATAAACAAGACTTTCATTCACGAGTCAATTGAATTTTGATATCAAGTAAATATCTTTTGAAATTCGAAGAGTTCCGCCGCGATACTCATGCGACTAACGCCATAACGCTGACATTTTACAAGTTGTAGGAGTTAGTTCTGACATTGTTAAACAGGCGCATCTTCTTCCCGTGAAAATCGCTCGTAACTCATGTTCATAAAATTTATCAATAATGAAATCTGGTGCAGGTTTCAGTATGATACAACTCCCATTTCAATGAATGATATACTCAGCTGTTAGCCACTCAGATTTCTCTGTAATATTTCTATTGATCCATTGATTGGATGATAAATTAAGAATTGAGACCTTAGCCGAATATGTAAATGACCATTGAGCGATTAATTTGTCGATGACTTGTTTTGACGGATAAGCCACTATTTGATAATTTTGTTGGAAAGAGAATTTTGATACAACACGAAACTTCATGTGCTTTTCATTTCTATCAGAGACAGAAAATAAACGTGCTACGGATCTAATAGCGGAATTTATCTTAATAACATAGTTGTGACCAGAATTGTGCACTTATGTAATTATATTGACTATCAACACTGGAATCAACAGGACTGAAGTAGGGTGTGGGTATTGATGTAAGTGTGATTGTGTGTTGGGTGTGGGTGTGGGTGTGAGTCTTCTCTTAATCCCCACCCCACACTCACACCCACACCCATTTCATGGCTCAAAAAAATATAGAATTACAATCACTTTTTTGGATAGATCAAAACAATGTACACTATAAAGAAGCCGAAAAATAAATAATAAGGATTGTATATGTTTTTTTTATTGGTTAAAATCCACCTACCAGTAAGTGTTCATTCTGAATTTTCGCTTCACAATTTTGGTATGAAAATTATGGAAATATTTTGACAAAAAGAATCAAAAACACTTTCAGTCCCAATAAAATAATATATTGTATTTATTTTTCTATTGACATAACTAGCAAACTTGTTTTTGAAATATCGCGATTAATTGCTGATTTTTTTGGTATTGCCATTAATAACCAAAACTAACGCGATTTTGATGACATGGGAAATGACCTAGCTTTGCTATAATTTCTTAGCTTGAGTCAAAAAATTTTAAGTTAAATAAATCGCCAGTGTAATCGCGCTATATCGATAATATAAAACAATTACCGATCAATCTCGATTTTTCAAGATACTGACGATTAATCGCGATTAATCGGCAACTTTTTTCGCATAATCACGATTAATCGTGAAAACTCAGGCGATTTTGACGACATGAGTACTGTCAAATCCACACACACACATATGCATACATGTGATAATAACATGCGATACAAAAGTAATGGCACAAAGTTTCGACCTTTATATTTCTTCATAGATACAGTCCTGGAAAAAAAAATTTTTTATCAATCGATAGAAACTCTTCTCCTCTTTCGAACTGTGTATGATTTATTTTTATCACACATTCATAAACGAAATGGGAAGCTAAGAAAGAGAAATTCTTGGTCAAGAAAGTTTTGATTTTTTCATTGATTTATTAGAGAAATTCTGAACATTAACTGAAATACCGATTGAAACAGTATGGGCTTTGTTGGTATAAAACGTGTATGAGAATAATTGGAAAGCCAAAAATTTAGATTTATTAGCTTGTAGAATCAAACAAAAGGTCAAACAATTTAATAAAATTATATTACAGACTATGTTTTAAGATATTTGAAAGAATCTACTTTCCATGTAGCACGATGGACTATATACCGTTGTTTAATAAAGATGTTTTTATTCATGCTTTTTATAATAAAAAATGAAATTTTTGTTGTCATTCATTAATAGATAGTAGTTGCCAATATGTCCGCTATTATCCTAACACTATATTTCAGTTGATTTATAAGATCTCTCTGATAAATCGACGAAAAATTTGAAAATTTCTTGACCAAGATTCCCAGGTGCAAAAATCGTACGAGGATCATATAAGATCTTATACGATCTTACTGACAATTAGATTTTGTAAGATTCAGATTGTATGATCTTACGAAATCTTGCAAATTTCTTGTTCTAAGATTTAATATGATTCTTATTATAAGATGCTAGCGTCAATCTTATATGATTCTTGATATAAGATTCTTGCAAGATCTGAGGATGGGAGTCTTGTAAGATATTGTAGGATCTTGTCAGACCATAATTTTAAGATATTTCTCATGCAAACTAGTTTTTATAACGATAGCTTTATAGATGTAGATTACTACACGTGTTTAAGTGATGGAATGCTTCCTAATAGAAATATAATTTCTTTTTAAATTGCAAATACACGTTTTGTATACAGCGATGCTTATTATAAAAAAAGCACACTACTAATCAATTTGATTTGACTTGATTAAGTTTATTATTGTTTTGAATTTTATCTCGTTAAATTCATTTTATCGTTTATTCTTATTGAAAAAAAAACATTTTTGTATTTGTTTGTAAAACTGTAACTAATAATAATTCTCTAGTGTAGAGGACACGTAAGCTGACAATGGCTAATATAGACTATATATATGAGCGAGAAACCGTTACATTCGTCTTATATTCTGGTATGGTGGAAGAAATTGCACGTCATATATTTTTTCAAAAATACAACTAGGCTTTTTATATTAATTTATAATTCTTCAAAATTATCCAGTTTTGTTTTAGATATTTGAAATTCGTATCGATCTTATTTAGTCTTTTTGGTTTCATCGACTGAATTTCGATATTTCCGGGTTTATTTTGACTCAAACTAATGATGAAAAATATTATTTTATTTTACTTTCAATCAATGTGAAAGGAGTTAGTTTCATTTGATGCATATGCTTAACTTATTTCAGTTAAGTTATAATTAATCTAAGAAGATTATCTACTTATAGTCAAAATAAAATGAAAGCAATTTAATGCAACTATACTTGTTTTACGACAAAATAGATTTACTTTCATAAGATTATTTATTTGATAGTCTGGGAAAATAAAATAAATTCAAAGTGAAGAGATTTATCTTACTTGAAATAAAGTTAACCTAATAGAATTATTGCATTTATATTTTTTTTAATACAAAATTAATATTCAATTTGATAATATTATTTAGAATTTACATTATATGGAACTAAATTAACCTAATTTTATCATTTTATTTTATTTCAATTGAAATAAAATTAACATACTAGATTTTTTCTACAATTAAATTAAATTATTTTATCTGATCATTTCAACTAACACAAAATAAATATAATAAAATTATTCATTTATGATTAAAATAAAATCAAGGAAATCTTATCCAATATAATTTGGTTAAAACCGTTTTCCAAACTACAACTTTGTAACTAATTAAGTCCATTTCAATATCGAACTCTATTCTATATACTAGTGGTCGATTATTCGAGAACGAGCTTAAAATTAACATCAAACCGAACTGTGATCTGTTTTTGATAAAATTACGCATTACTCATTGCATGTTTTCATGTAGAAATGATAAATATTTTTTTTATTTAAAAATAAATTTAGTCTGAGACGAAGTAAAATGATAAACATTTAGCGATAAATGTTTTCTCTTGAAACAAAGAGTTTGAAGAAGGTAACTCAGCCTGTTGAAAAATCAGGTAGAGGTGATGAAAAGTGCAAGAATATCAATCATGCGATGCATTCTATAGTTGTATAGAAGCATGTATGAATAATGCAAGATCTTATCAGATCATACAGTAAGATCATATAAGAATCGTACAGTACGATGTGATCAGATGTGCAGGCTTTACGACTATCTTATAAAAATCATACAAGATCGTATATGACTTTCATACGATCTTATATGATCATATAAGATTTCACAGTAAGATCTTGTAAGGTATTGCAATATCGCACAAGATCTTATTGTCGGATTCTTCGACCTGGGTTTTCTCGTTCTTAACTTTCCATTTCGTTTATGAATGTGTGACAAAAACAAATTATATACAGTTCAAAAGAAAAGAAAATTTCCTGTCGATTGGTAACAAAAGTTTTCTTCCAGAACTGTGTATATGAAGAAATACAAGGGTCGAAATTTTGTGCCATTACTGTTGCATCACATGTTAGTATCGACTGGGCTTGTAGAGTAGTATATAATGCGAAAATAATTGAACATTCAGCCGAAGATCAAACGAATCGCAATGACGAACGTTATTTGTTTGAATAGAGACATATACAATCATAGTTCGAATAAGTTACAACAAGATATTAACAAGTAAATATATGACTATTAAAGGTTAAACAGTAAATAGATTGTGAAACTTTTTTCGGTGTATACATGTGAAATGTTTAAAAGTAAGGTTGTAGAAGACTTTTATCTCGTTTTCGAACGAGTTGATTATACATCTAGTCGAAGGTTTCGAAAATATGATTACAGAAAATTTTTTTAATCAATGATACAATGAATTTTTGATGATTAAAATAAGAGATAATGTGATATTCAAACATGTTCTAGTGAACAAATAATAAGTCATCAAAAGAGTTGAGAGCATACTGTGAATACACTTTCATTTAATGAAACTGAACAGCTAATACGAAAACATATGCGTTCAATTGCTGAAACAGTTGAACTTATTCAACAAAATATTCAACCTGATAAACAATATAAAGAAAATATTCTTAAAAATTCCGAAATAGATTCTCAAGGTTTACTACAAATTGACGTTCGAATTGTGCGATTGGAATATCTACGAACAGTTTATGTTAATAAAAAGTGTTGTCAACTTATTACTGTTAATAATGAAGTGAAAATCATATACACATCGAAATGTCATGAATAATGTTATTGTAAAAGTATTCTACAAGACACTATCACCAATCTAAGCATGAAGGAATGCGAAGCTATGGATTAGAAAACAGATAAAATATTTTCACTTTTACAAATCAATTCATTTATCAAAGATAAACATCTTTTATATTATATTTATTCAAAATTGATTTGATTATTTTAATCAGTGTCAGTTTGTTTTCATTCATACCTACACTCATCTTTTTATCTTTTTATATGTTTCAACAAAACAAACCATGCAACTTGTTGATTCTCTTGAAAAGATTAGTTTGTATTGGATTATTATTTTCACTCAAATAACTGTTTTCTCACAACATTTTTAACAAATAATTTGAACTTTTTCACTTTTCAACAAAATAATCGATTTGACTGATGTAGACACATTTGATTTTAACATACATATGATATTTTGTTCGAAATTTTAAACAACTTGTCATCTGTTCAGATTATTTATGTATACAGTATATTTTCAAAGTAATCTATCAGAAAAAAATTTGCATATAACCACAGTATTTCGAGCAAGTGCGTTGATTTTTTTTTCTGATAATAGAGCAGTATTCTAGGTTTTTCTTCATAAATCAACAACTTATTGACATACATGAAACCTAGTATGATCTAGTTCAATACAGAATTTAGCCTTTTCTCAGGTACTTTTGCTTTAGTAGTCAACCATAAAACAATGGAATGTATTCCAAACTTTTTTGACACGTCTTAGAGTTTTATAAAAAAATTTTCAAGAAATGATGGTGTTACGATTGAAATACACTGAAAATCGCCGATTTACGACAGGGTTCTAGACCAATTTAACGTTCCAATATTTTGATTCTATCACCGTCGTATATCGATGAAAATAGAAAACTTTTTTTAATGAAAATGATCAACCATAAAAGCTCTACAAAATGGGATATGACAATAAGATTTTGGATCTATTTTATGTTTTTTAGTTGACCACTCATGGAAGTCCTCTATCAAAAATGACCTATAACCTGGCAAATTCTTTAGGAGTGTAAGGACATTGAGAAGGATTCCATATGCTGTTGCAAAAGTCAGATAGGCTAGCAAAAACTCAAAAATTGCAATTAAATTATTTGATATATTGTAAAAGTTTAAAAAGACGAAGAATTAGACTCATAGAAAAGAAACTCAATTTTTTTTCCTGATAAATAAAAACATGGAACTATGTCTGATCAATATCATTTTATCATATTCTATTTGGCTTTTTCAAATTTCTTTATTTTTTAATAATTTTTTCATCATGAGATGTTCATCATTGAACTAACTAGAACTTTTTCGATAGAAATAAGAGGATTTAAACATGACATTGTCTCATTATTCACAAATACGAATAAAACAAGTATAAACAAAATTCAATAGAGCAAATGTCCCTAATATCGACAGCAAAAAATTCACTTATCTTGTTTCAGTCCGTGCACCACTATTTTATATATGAGGTAAAATATTTTTATATATGCATAATCCTTGGATTTTGCGCTTTCAAATGGTATATAAATGAACTTTTTTCTTCAACGTTTTCACCGAGAAATCAGCGGTCTACGATGATGGACTGCATCTGTCGATATTAGGAGCACTTTCCCTAATATCGACAGCAAGCCATTTTTTGCCCCTAATATCGACATCAAGCAATATTTTGTCCCTAATATCGACAGCAAGCAATATTTTGCCCCTAATATCGACACGAAGCAAATTTTTGCCCCTAATATCGACACCAAGCCATTTTTTGTCCCTAATATCGACACCAAGCATTTTTTGCTTCTAATATCGATACCAAGCCATTTTTTATTCCTAATATCGACACCAAGCAACTTTTGTCCCTAATATCGACACCAAGCAAATTTTTGCCCCTAATATCGACACCAAGCCATTTTTTGTCCCTAATATCGACTCCAAGCAGTTTTTTGCCCTTAATATGCACAACAAACCATTAAAGTTACTCGGTGTCGATATTAGAGGCAAAAAATGGCTTGGTGTCGATATTAGGGGCAAAAATTTGCTTCGTGTCGATATTAGAGGCAAAAAATGGCTTGCTGTCGATATTAGGGGCAAAAAATGGCTTGGTGTCGATATTAGGGGCAAAATATTGCTTGATGTCGATATAAGGGGCAAAAAATGGCTTGCTGTCGATATTAGGGGCAAATTATTGCTTGCTGTCGATATAAGGGGCAAAAATGGCTTGGTGTCGATATTAGGGACAACAAATGGCTTGGTGTCGATATTAGGGGCAAAATATTGCTTGGTGTCGATATAAGGGGCAAAAAATGGCTTGGTGTGGATATTAGGGACAAAAAATGGCTTGGTGTCGATATTAGGGGCAAAATATGGCTTGGTGTCGATATTAGGGGCAAAATATGGCTTGGTGTCGATATTAGGGGCAAAATATTGCTTGGTGTCGATATAAGGGGCAAAAAATGGCTTGGTGTCGATATTAGGGACAAAAAATGGCTTGGTATCGATATTAGGGACAAAAAATGGCTTGGGGTCGATATTAGGGACAAAAAATGGCTTGCTGTCGATATTAGGGACATTTTTTTTTCATCGATTTTAGTCGTCTTCCTCTCGAGTTATTGTATTCATCAGCAACAAATTGGCTTTGCGTGAACCTTTGGATTATGATAGACCTTGAGATGCTCTACAAGATTGCCAAGGCGACCTTTGATCGTTTTCCGACCAAAAGTCGTTAAAAACTTGTTTGTTCTCAAAAGATTGGATTTCGCTTGTATTTTGCATAAGTGTCGATATTAGGGACAAAAAATGGCTTGCTGTCGATATTAGGGAAAGTGCTCCTAATATCGACAGATGCAGTCCATCATCGTAGACCGCTGATTTCTCGGTGAAAACGTTGAAGAAAAAAGTTCATTTATATACCATTTGAAAGCGCAAAATCCAAGGATTATGCATATATAAAAATATTTTACCTCATATATAAAATAGTGGTGCACGGACTGAAACAAGATAAGTGAATTTTTTGCTGTCGATATTAAGGGCATTTGCTCTATTTGTTCAAATAAATCATTCAATTTTTTTAAAAATTATTCATCTTTTTAACTTTCAGGAAATCGTTGATAGATAAACATATTCTTCATAACATTTGCCGATGCGATGATTTATTCTATGACGAAAGGTCGACTGATCAAATCTCACATAAATCTATGTCTAAATTGGCGACTATACTAAAATTCGTTCAATCTCGGATTGAACTGATCATTTTAGAGCGAATTTTAGATTTGCTAAAATCAATCGATCTATGAATAGGAGCATTTATAAATGATAGTCTATTGAATATTACAACTCATGTATTAATCGATGAAGTTTGTTAATTGAGATAAATTATTTGAATTGGTTTGACTTTATTTTTATTGTTATTTTAAAATTGTTTTGTAGGTAAATGTACAACATGTGGTTGTTCGTGAAAAGAGCATCACCGTATAACATATGAATATGAAACTAATATTCGCCGTCTTAATAATCTATGCTCATCAAGTGATATTGATAAAGGAATTAGTGATTTAGAAGATGAAAAAGCCAAAATAGAAGATAATTATAGAAAAATCTTTCAAAACTTTTTCATGTAAATGCAATTATTCCAATAAATGACGATATGTTAAAATATATTAGAGTTTTTATGGAAGAAGAACAAATGAAAAAAAAAATTTTGGTTGTGAAAACAATGATATTATTCAAAACCTTGAACAAATGATAAAAGATTATACGAAAGAAATAAATTTATTTAAACAAACAATAAAAAATGAAAAAGATGCACTCAAACCTAAAGATATATTTCCTTTAGTTGGAAGTATTTATCGATTACCTATCAATGGAAAAAAAATTCGCGAACAAACCAATGCATTAAAAATAAGTCAAACTGATATTTCATTAGAACAAGAAGTTTTTGCTGAACTATCAGCTAAAGCTAATTCATCAACAATAATGCATCAATTCAAATTCATTATTTCCAACAAATAAATTTGTTTTTACGTTAAAACTTAATATGATAAGAAACACTCGAAATGATTTACCTATTCAAAACGTACACCTATTTAATAATATATCGTTTTGAATGTTTTTTCTGTCGATGATTCTTAAGAAAAAAAAACGTCGCAGTTCGTCACCAATCTCAAATTAATAAATTGTTTATGTCATTTTCAATATTACATTGTCCCACATCATATTATACCTAGGATTTGAAGTTGTTCTCAAATTTTCATGTGCTTAATGTCTACACATCAGCTACAATGCTTTACGTATGTAATTTCGTTACTAATAAAGACCATCATTCGTAGAATGTTCCAATAAAACTTATCAAATCTATTGTATAAATTTAGTTTGATGCCACTCGAGTTGCTCTCCAATTTTTTATACTGAATGTTTTCCATTGTTACTTTATAATGATTCCTGAAGAGAAAAGTCTGCCGTCGAAGGATGTGGGTGTGAGGCCTTGGCCGGGGTGCATGTGGATGTAGGGCGTGGATGTGAGTGTGGGTGAATAGCTTCTCTTTAGCGACATCCATAGACACCCACACCCCAACTACGCCCACAGCCACACACACACCCACATTCTCTTTTGAACAGGACAAGTCTTGAAAACATGTCTCATCCTGTATTTCAGAATGAACGATTCAGGTAACACAAAAATGATAACACACAGTCATCATATCCGTCAACAGCCCGATTCACACACTTCCTTCCTAATGAAAGGCAGACAATGAAGCAACAAAAAAAAGGTATAGAAAAGACAATCCTTATCAAGCCAAAAACGATTGAAATTACCCTACCTAGACAGCTTGGAAATGCCGATACAACGGAAGTGACGGAGATCTTATCATACTAACATATACTCGATAATCCGTTCTAAAGATGGATACAATAATTAGGGATGCACTGGTTCCGGTTTTGATCGGTTCCAAATAACCGAAATCGTTCGACACCATGCATAGACAAATCGGAAAACCTAGATTAATGATTCCTGAAGCAGCATTCCATGAATTTCCGGTGGAAATTCGCAGGAAAGGCACCATTTTCCGCCGAAACCCACCGGAAAATGCCAGCATATCGACACAAAAACCGGTGATCATATACGACTGCCAGTTTTGCCAAATTCTGGGCAGTTCTGGACGGAACTGGATAAACGCAGTCACCGGATTCCTGCTTCCAAGTTCAGCGCATTTCCGGTGTTCTCCTGCACGAATCGGCCCGTACTTCTCGACCTGGATAATGAAAAATCTAATGATCATCGATTCTGACTGATTCAGATCTCAGTTCCAGTCGGTTCCGGTTTCGATTCCGATCAGTTCCAATCGGTTTCGGTTTCGGTTCCGATCGGTTGCAAACGGTTCCACCGGTTCCGCTTTTAGAACCGAAACCGGTGCATCCCTAGACAGAATCATTTTGATTAGAATTATTTTAATACACGATTGATTTTACTACAAAAGAAAAGATTTCTATGATACAAATCCATTAAAACTCTTTCAACTTTACGATCATTACAATCCACCCATACGTAGGAAAATGGTCTCAATCAAAATGCTCACTAATATTCTCATCAATGAAGTAGCTCATCAGTTACTAAATCATCATAGAGTTCATATCCGCATACAACTATCACGATAGATAATACTAAACTTCAACCTTTTTCTTCCCACGAAAAATTTCCATACCCACTTTTACCAATACTTAATTACAACATTGTACATAAATCATAAATTAATTAAAGACTCGCAATACTTCCAATACCCTCAGAGAGACCGCAACGTTTCGTACCCCAACATGAAATATATTTAAACGTGAATATAAAATCAAAAAAACATTATGATATGTCTATAACCACGCGACACAAAAGAACTTTTCCTTTTTTCCCTTAAATTTCTTAAAATTTTCCAGTCTTCATCACTTTCACTTC